CCAGGGAAGTTGCAGATTATTCTCTCTGCTGATCTCCTTCTCAGAGCTTGTTGGTTACCGACACTTCTCACAAGCCCGCTGGGCACTCGGCTTTCATCAGTTACGAGCTCTCCTGGCAAAGATGCTTATTATCCGATTTTGTTGAGCTTTCTTTGTTACGAGCTCCCCACAAGCTCGCTGGTTATTTCACTGGGTACAAGTTGTCTTAGAGAAGATACGTATTTTGTTGAGCTGTTTTTTTTGAACTTGCAGGTTACGAGCTCTTCTCACAAGCCCGCCGGTCACTCGACTTTCATTAGTCACGAGCTTTCCCAGCGAAGAAGCTTATTATCCACTTTTGTTAAGCTTTTCTTGGAACTTGCAGATGACGAGCTTCTCACAGGCTCGCTGGTTACTCTCCTTTTCTTGGTAACGGGCTTTTCTAACAAAGACACAGATTTTTGTCGAGCTTGATGAATTAAGAGTCCTCCTCACTTTAATTGGGTACAAGCTCTCTTAGAGAAGACACGTATTTTGTTGAGCTGGTTTTTTTTTGTTTTTATTTTTGAACTTGCAGGTTACGAGCTCTTCTCACAAAGCCCGTCGGTCACTCGGCTTTCATTAGTCACGAGCTCTCCCAGCGAAGATGCTTATTATCCACTTGTGTTAAGTTTTCCTTGGAACTTGCAGGTGACGAGCTTCTCACAGGCTCGCTGGTCACTCTCCTTTCCTCGGTTACGGGCTTTTCTAACAACGACACGGATTACTCACTTTGTCGAGCTTGATGAATTACGAGTCCTTCTCACAAGCTCGCTGGTCACACACCTTCCATGGGTTACTAGTCCCTCTAGCGAAACCACAGGCTTCWCGCACTCGTTGGGCTCGCTTTCTTTCACGACCTCGCTGTTTACTCGCCTATCACTGGTTACGAGTTCCTCCAGCGAAGCTTCAGGCTTAACGTACTCGCTTCGCCGAGCTCGCTGGTCGCTCTCTTACCATCCGCTAYGAGTTCCTCTAGCGAAGCYAMAGGCTYCACGTACTCGCCTCGCYGAGTTTYTGGTCGGAGCTCGCTGCTTTCGCGACCTCGMTGTTGTCTCTCCTTYYGGGGGTTACGAGTCTAAGTCGCAGGTTGCCCTCTTCGCTGAGCTTCTTAGCTGTGCATGTTGATTATGAGCCCTTCTCACAGGCTCTCTGGGTGCTCTCCTTTCATTAATCACGAGCTCTTCTAACGAATACACGTGTTATTTACTTYTGCTGAGCGGTTTTCCGATCTCTTCTCGAGGACGTCGCTAGCCAGGCCTCTCCGACCTTGCAGATTCTAGTCCTTCTTAGGCTCGCTGGCAGCTCCGCGAAGTCTCCTTTTGGTACATCTGGGTCTCGAGCTTCACGACGAGCTCGCAGTTTACTCACTTCCCTTTTCACCTGACTACGAACGGGTTCCTAACGGGCTTCTCTGCAGGCGCTGGTTAACTGCTTACCTCCCTTGCTCACGACCTAGCTTCGCGGTGACAATCGGACCGGGGGCCGAGCCCTCTGGAGACGGAAAAGGGGAGACCGAACGCCCCCCGGACCGGAAGTGGAGAGTGCTATCCGGGCCAATGTAAGGAACAAAGGGGAACCCGAGGCCGCGCCCGTTGGTGCTACCTCAGCAAGAGGAATTAAAAGAGGGGCAGGCCCGACACCGCTATAACTCCCACACACAACCACCCCTCTGCACTCCTCCCCATTCGGCAAACTGACACGCAAACACCCCTCACCTTCATTTTCCCCAACCAATGGGCCAACCAGGCCCCCACCTTGTCACATCTGCAAGTTAACGTCTTCACCCTCGCTGCTGCACAGCACGCTGCAAGAAACACTGCTGCCACAGCACCTAACGCTGTCCATACGTCCCCCGTCCTCGCCATCCAAAGAACTACCGACACAAACAGCTACAACACTCCTTGTTACATGACCACCATATTCACACCCGCCAGTAACAACAACACTGTTGTCCCTTCGGCACCTAGCCACACCACAGAAGCAGACAGACTGGCACGGAGAAGAGAGCAATTACTGAGCATTGCAATGAACCCACTCCCCACCCCGCAAAGGCACAATACCCGTAGGGGAAATAAGACTAGCAGGCTGCACCCGCTGCAGAATAACAAGCAAAAACAAAAACGTGCAAAGCATGCGCAACCGCATGGCGATTACTGCCAGCTAGATATGCACGACTTCCTCCACGCCCAGCCACTGCGACAGACCGCGTCCACATCCCACCAGCTACCCATGGCTCCCAGACAACCAGCCGCTTTACACAGTATCTCCATCAATGGCACGACTATTCATACCCAAACTGACCGGCAATCTCATCCTGCACACACATGGCTGCCACCAACCGAATAGCTGGTCCACCAATGGCCTCAGACATGCGGCAGGGCAAACATGCCCGAGCATCCTCCAGCACAGGGAAATCCGGAGATCATCCCGATCAGCAGCAGCGAGATCAACGATAGCGAAAGACCACAGCTCCCCATCACTATCAGCTCGCCTTCGCCAGATACACCGATACGACCCACATCTGCAATAGAGGCACCCAGACACAATTATGGTGCCAGCAACGCCGAATCCTCTTTGCTCATGACTTCCAGTGACCAGATAACTCTCGGTGCGGAATCCGCGACATTCGAAGACTCATGGAAGAAAGTTTGTCGCAGGCTCAGCCCCGACTACCAATTCGGCATCGCAAATAGCTAAAACTACTACTCTGCTCCCCGACCGAACTGATCCGATACTCCAAGGTTACCCCTTCTTGACTAAGATTAGCACAGCCTAGTTTACCACATAGACGTATACCGCTGGTTGTAAACAACTCCTTTGTGATACAGACGGAAATAGAAAAATCCTGGTAAATAACATAAGTAGGTCTGATACCTCGAACGATCTAACACAGAGCCCACATTCCAGTAGAATCGGACTGTAGAAGCCCAGGCTTTCTGAGACAGTAACCTGGTAATGAGCATTCAAAAGTTCGAAAGAATGATCGTCTCTGTTTTTTTCTCTCCTCTGACACAACAATTTTAGATTTAAATAAGCAGGATGTTGTTGACTGCCTTATCCAGCACTTAATTACCTGCATTCCGAATATTTGTTTGTTTTGAATAAATCTGTCTCAATCAGCAATGTACACCCCACGCTTACTATCCATCATACTCTGCCTACCTAAACCCAACACCCTCATCTCTGCCCAACTGGTGGCTAGCTTCTCTGTGTTCTCCCCTCTAGTTCAAGAGTCTGGGACTTAAATAAGCAAGAATTTCTTTGCTGGTCTGATCCACCCCTTAAAATTACCTGCATGTTTTGAATAAATTTTGTTTCAAAGAATAATGAACACCCCACACCTACCGTCCAATGTACTCCGCCACCGAACCTAACACCCTCATCTCTTCCCAAACCCATTGGCTCCACCCATACTTAAAAACCCTGGCTCCTCGCCTGACACTGCCAAGTCATGATGCATCCCACACCCCTATGACCAACTACCCATACCCTTACTCCTGCCATTATATGGACCCACACTCAAATTCCTGGACAAGCACTCCCCTTCTCACGATTATGTGACTACTTAATGATTCCCCTCCTCTGGCACAGGCTTCCGGGATTAAAATAAACAGAACTTTTCGCTGTTAGCCCTTAATTACCTGCATTCCGAAAAATGGCTGGTTTTTTATGTCTATAATTTGTCTCAAACGTGCAGTAAATGACACCACACCCACTATCCACTGTACTCTGCCTACCATAACCCAACACCCTCATCTCTGCCCAAACCCATAAGGTACACCCAAAACCGCACATAGCCCCGGCCCCACCCACCACTGCCAAGTCATGACTCATACCACACCGTTAAGATCCCCCCCCCCCCAAAAAAAAACCATACCCTTGCTCCCGCCTCTAATCAGGCACAAGCGGTCCCTTTCTTACGCACATGTGACTGCTAAATGATTGTCCGTACGTTGTGCATGTGCTGCGATTACTGACCATGGAGGATGGAAGACTCGGATGGAAAGCCAACAGACAAAATAATAAAATCATAATACCCTGCCACTACCCAAACCGACTAATGGATACATTTAAACTCCAGAAAACCTTCGAAAATATCCTTAAAAAACACAACCCAAACGCCCTGCCCCTTCTGGACCACTGCACTTTTTCATGGACATACAATGACCACATAGCCAAAACACAGTATAAACCCGTAGCCGTCTTTCGAGACTTCGAACTACATGAATGGATAACCGTGCTGCAAAACGAATGCTTTTGTCACCAACAACGTTTTGCTATGTTTTCTACCCCCCTCCCTATTGAACTCCTTCCACAAAAAGAAGCTGCACATGCCATTACTCTAGACATGAACATATCCCATCAGTTACACCCAAGAAAGTTGACATCATGTCAGCAATAAGTCTTGTCTGGAAGAACCTCATAAGCACTCTTGTAAGTAATGGAGTGCCAATCCCGGAGAAACACATACATGAAGCAGACCAAGAACTTAACGATATCATACTACGAACAATCGAGAACTTCCACCCAAACAAAGAAACCAACATACACGAACATGCAATCAGACATGAAATTAAATTCCTCACCTCACACTTCTATATTTCGGCTGCTGACAAAACCCCAAATACTCCAGTAGTAATCTGCATTAATCTTGTGAGATACCTTGCCTTACAGAGACTGTCCAGTCCCGATTTTGAACCCTGCCCCATCTCTGCTAATGAACTACTCCCCCACCTCGAAGAAGAACTCATCAAAGTCTTTCCCGACATCCCAATTGGGAACAGGTCACTACCATATCTCTTCGCTACATATAAGAAGCACAAGAACTCCTTTCGTTGGCTCACCAATGTGTCTGACGTGATCTCCTCTCCGCTTGCTGACCTTGCTGCTGCCATCCTTAAAACATTAATCCAGGTTGTGAAAACGCACTGCGGATACCTCACCCAGCAAACTCTCAACGAGACTGGTATTAAGGTGCCCTATTGGTGGCTCATAGACTCGACAGCTGACTACGTCTACAATATACCCTCGCAGGTAACTAGTGTATTCTCAGCAGATATCACAAGATGCTACGAGACCATACCCACTGATAATAGCTCTGATGGGCTTCAAAACGCAATCAGGTTCTTCACAAAATTGGCCTTTGAACAAGCCAAGAAAACAACAGGTAATAAGGTACAACTTGCCTTTAAGTTCTACTATAAAGGAAACCAACTAACCCCAACGTGTGACTGGTTTAACAACCCCCCTAATGGATACCTCTCCCTTAATGTTGAATTGGTTAACGCCATCAATGAATGGCTCATCGCAAATGCCTATACTTCTTTCGGCAATAACATTTGGAAGCAGGTTCTGGGTATTCCAATGGGTGTCAGTTGTGCACCTGTATGGTGCAATATCTACTTCTTCAAATACGAATACAAATTCATGAGGAAACTTGCACACAAATCCAACAGACACCTCCTACACTTATTCAAGTACACCTTTCGATACTTAGATAACTTCCATATCATTAATAACCCAAGAATACATGAGTTCCTCAACCCAGAGATCACTAGCACAAGAAGTAAATACTTTCTGTACCCACTACAATTAATTACCCTGAATGAGCAAACTTCTGAAAAATCAGAAATCAACGGCATAAGCATAGGGACCAAAACCAACTTTCTCAATACAACCATCGAGATCACCAACGCTCGCTCTAGTTACTTCAAAACATAGAAATATGATAAAAGAAAGGAACTTAACTTTCCTATCACTAGATTCATCCAAGCACATTCCAACAGACCGATGCAGCAATCTCTTAACCTGATAATAACACAAATTATCTCAATCATGATAATCGAATCTGAGCCCAAACATGCAGCAACCGCAATAGAACAAACCATTAACAATTTTGTACACAATGGCTTCTCGAAACATAGACTCTTAGGAATCACCAAAAAGATCCTCCAATCCCCTGATAACTACCAACCCTTCAGATGCTGCCCTCAAACCGTACTGAGGTGGCTCCAACACAGCCACATCTAACGAATAAGCACTCAACACCTAGATATATACTCAACCAGCATGTTACACATATATATATGTGTGTGTTAGCCAAATAATTTTTTTTTTGGCCTGGTTCGGATGGAGAACCTACCCCGGGTGGGGTAGGTCCTTAATCCCTATGATCAAAACAAAATTGACCTACCCCACCCGGACCTCCATTACGAGGGAACGGGGAGGGACACACACACACACACACATACACATATACACTATTTTTATATATATAAAAAAAAAAAAAATAGTAATAATAAAAAAATCCTTTCTTTTACAAATAATTAATAAACTATGGGGACACACACACACACACTCACGCACATACAAAAAAAAAAAAAAAAAAAAAAAAAAAAAAACTTAGTAAAAAAAAAGTAATAATAAAAAAAAAAAAAAACTAGTAAAAATTATTACAAATACAAAAACATAAAAGATTGATGCACTATCTTACAACCCCCCTGAATTATAAACTCACACACATACCTCCGGCCCTGAAATATGACCCTCGGCCTCAAACATATTCAGCACAAAGCTCAGAAACCTATATACCATTAGGGCCATCCCTCGTGTTTCCGTTATGGGTCAATGGACCCAGGGAAATCAAACCATACAAGCAAAGTAAGCCAGATCTAGACTCACATGCTCAAAACTTAAACGCTTTTTCCCGCCTCGGCCCCAAACGACGCTATACCGAAACACTACCTGCATGGCACCACACCGAAACGACACACCGCAATACAAACAAACAAGCTAACAAGACAAAACTCGTCGTAACGCTACCGCCCTCCACCATAGCCAGGCCATCTCCCAAGAACGACGACTGTACCCACACCACTGCACACCCTGACACACAAGAAAAGACAAATGCGGAAGCAAACCCAGCTACCCCGACAGAGCTACGATAGCGTGAACACAACCCTTACCTCTGGCAGAACCCCTCCAACCCTGCCCATGCCCATACAAGCATGCTCGCAGCCATGACGGAAGCCAAGACTATGCAAATTGTACAACCATACCCCTTCTCCCCCGCCCCACAGAAAACTTCTCCAGGTATGCATCTGACTTTGTTCCCCCCCATCCACGAAGGACTCTACCCCATCCTTGCCAAAATGATGCCACCTTTACCTCATACTACTCCATCTCTATGCGATGCATTACAGTTTATATTTTCGGCTTACTCACCACACACAACAGCCGCCCTCAGAGACGGGTATGATCACTGCTATTGGCAAGCCTAAGCAGCACTACGCTCGCGCAGATCCTGCTGCCAAGCTCTCTCACTGTGCCCCTCCTCCTCGTCTATCAGTCCTTCGAGGCATGCAACCTTACAGTTGAGCATGTGCCTGGTTTTGGTGTGGCACGCGTACAGTGCCTGTCTCTTATACACATCTAGATGTGTATAAGAGACAGGTCCCATACGTTCGGGCGCTCGGGTTCGGGCGTTCGGCCTGCCCCGAACGCCGGTTACCCTTCTCGTGTGTGTGCAAGCCCAATAAAACTGCTG